CCTCCTTGCACTTGCGCAGGCGGCACTGCTGGCACTTGCGGCGCATGAAGGCGTCCATCTGGCAGGTTCCGCCGCCCCGGCAGGCATAGCGCCCAGCCCCGCCTCGGACCACACTGCGCCGGAAGAAGCCCTTGCAGCCTTCGCAGCTGAGCACGTTGTAGTGGAAGCCGGAGGCCTTGTCCCCGCACACGCGGCACAGCTCGTGGCCCAGCATCTTCGGGGCCGGGCCCTTCTTGCGCTTGCGCTCTGGCTCCTCCGTGGGGTCTGGGATGACTGGGGTGGGTGGACGGAAGCCGGGAGAGAGTCACGAAAACAAAACAGCCAGAGAGACAGGCCCGTGAGCGAGCAGAGGGGGTACGGGGGGGGCGCCCAGAGAGACGGCCATTCAGAGGGACAGATGTGTATGTCAGTGAACCCCAAGAATGAATCACATGGAGAGGTGTCCAGGAGGAGAAGAAAAAATATCAACAAGCAATCAGGGCCTCCTTGTCCTCATTTCCGACCTTTCTCTCTTCCGGGGTCCCTCCCCCAGCCTCCCGTACCAACTCCCAACCAGTTCCTGGACCCCGTTCTCACCCACGCTGCAGGCTGAGCCGACCCCATCACTGCCTGGGACATCGGGGTCCGGGCCCCCAGGCCACGGCTCAGGACGCTCCTCCTTTACCACGGGTTTCGAAGAGGGGACGCTGGGCTGAGGGGGGACATTTCCTGAGAGAGGGAAGCATAGTGAGTTTCTCCGGACAAGTGTGTGATGGAGCGGTGTGGGCTGGGCTGGGAAGGGGCTCACCTACCAGGCAAGGGGGTATTCTGGGCACTCGAGGTCGGGGTGGACATGGTGGGGTCACGGAGCAGCCTGCAAAACACGGGGGGACGGAGAGCCTTGTGGGCCAGGGAAGTTCAGCCACAGCTCTTGAGGGGGCACATCTTCCTTCCAAGGTTCCCAGATTCCTCCCTTAGGGCATACAGAACCCAACCCCAGCCCCCCAATTCTAACAGGGCCCGCCCCTTCTACTTCAGGACAGCTCCCCGGCTTGGCATCAAGCCACGCCCTCAGCTAGATCCCGCCCCCTGCAGGTCCCCCAACTCCAGGCTCTGCCCACCCGCTCTGTTCAGGTCCTGTCCCTAAGTTTCTTTCTTTTTTTAAAACGTGTTGCTTATATTTTATTGACTTTTTACAGAGAGGAAGGGAGAGGGATAGAGAGTTAAGAAACATCCATGAGAGAAAAACAACAATCAGCTGCCTCCTGCACACTCCCACTGGGGATGTGCCCCCAACCAAGGTACATGCCCTTGACCGGAATCCAACCTGGGACCCTTCAGCTCGCAGGCCGACGCTCTATCCACTGAACCAAACCGGTTAGAGCTCATCCCACCTACTCTTACTCCATCCCACTCAGCCGAGGAAGAAAACCCATCTCTCATTCTATCCCCACCTCCTCCCATTATGCTCCGCCCCCATCCTTTCCACCGCCCAGGTTGCACCCTCACTCCTCCCATCAAGTGCCTGCCGATCATTTTGCCCCGCTCCATCAGTGCCCTTCCCCCCAGACCCCGACCCCTCCCCTCCTATGAAGCCCCGCCTCCGCCCGCCCATCAGGCCCCGCCCCCACACCTCTCTCCAGGTCCCGCCCCTCTCCAAACACCAGTGGGGGGCGGGGCTCATGGCTGCGCGCGAGGGTCTCGTGGGCGGTCTCTCGCGGGGTCTCCTGCTCCTGTTGCCCTGGAAACAGCCGGGGGCGACGCGAGCTACGGAAAGGAGGGCGAGAAGGAGAGAAGGGCTGAGCAGAGAAGTGCGGGGAACTCCGGGAAGCCCCGGGCTTGGGGCGCTCCCCGCATCTCCCCACGCTCGGATGCACCTGCGCCTGTCCCCTTACTCTGCTTCTCTTTCTCCTCTTCTGTGTCCCCTGTACGCCACCGCCGCTCCGGTCTTCTCAAAAGTAACTTCGCCACTTCTTCCGGCAACCCCACTGTGCATCACTTCCGGCAAGGGGAGGGGAGTCGGGGATGACGGACTTCCGGTCCGCCTAGAACTAGCCAAGTCAGTTGCCCCGCAGGGGAGTCGTGCACCCTTTGGAAGTTTACCCTCCCGGCAGGTCCACAAGAGGCAAAAGCGTTCCGGTCTCATTCCGTCAGACGTGGCCAGTGCCAAACCTCCCCGCCAGGCGCCGTGTCTCTCTGGGCTCCCGGGAAAAGACTTACTCGGCGTATATCTCCCCAACCAGCGCTCCTTTTCGCACAGGACTGCGTTCAAGCACGTTTGTCCCTTTTTGGTTGTTATAAGTTTTCTCAATTTGGAGATGCTCTGATTATTAGTTTTAAATAAGTTAAATTATAAGGCTTGACCCAGAACAAAAAACATTTTTTTAAAAATAACTTAGTGATAGGAAGGATTAAAATACCATAGCCTTCTCCTAGTAAAAAAGATACAACTAATAGCTTTTAAAGAAAACTCAGAATACTTGACCAGGTAAAAGATGGAAGTTGTTCCAAAGTCTTTCCCCGCCCCCACCCCATGATAATCAGCTCTATATTGAGCATATATACATTTTATAAAAAGGGAGTGTCTGACCCATGATTTTTGTAGCTTGTTTAGTCCATCTGGCATGGCCTTGAAACTGTGACGTTTTTCATCTGAGGATGTTACCATTAAAACGAGTGGTTAAACCCAGCTGGTGTGGCTCAGTGGTTGCACATAGAACCTATGAACCAGGAGATCAGGGTTCGAGTCCCGTCAAGCCACATGCCCAGATTGTTGGATGGATCCCTTGTGGGGGGCGTGCAGGAGGCAGCCAATCAATGATTCTCTCTCATCGATCTTTCTATCTCTCTCTCCCTCTCCCTTCCTCTTTAAAATCAATAATAAAAAAATATATATTTTTTTAAAAATACACACAAAAAAGTGGGTAAGGTGGGCATCAGGGGGGACGGCTGAGCCCATGTCTGCTTTCTCGCTGTGTCATGTTAAGCCAAGCTGATTACCCTCCCTGTGCCTCTGTTTCTTCATCTGTAAATTGGGAACAAGACATGACTGCATGGTCATAGGATTACGAGAAGTAAAAAGCACGAACCGGGCCAGGCTCGAATCAGGAGCCCAGGATGGTGGAGCTATGTTTATTCTTGCGGATGTTAAAGTTGTGTTTAGCTTTTCACCATCAGAACAGTGCCAAGGGCTGAAAGAGAATGCAGGTGAATTGCAGCAGTTTTGGAGCAAGTCGCGTTCCTCTCGGCCTCGGGGAAAATTCTTTGTATTTCTCTTTGAGGCAGGGTAGCAAGAAGCTCGGAACATTCCTTGGCAAGTGGAATGAGGAGACTGAGGCAGACAGCGGAGCACTTTACAGCCAGATTCAGGAGGTCGCCAGGGCCAAAGCCTTGGGTGCCTAGCAAAGGGCAGAACTGGTGCCGAACCTGGCCCCCAGGGTGGTCTTTCCTCCCCTGACATGTCCTTGGCCGTGCGGTTTTGACCCCCTGAGCTTTCCTCCACGGAGATACCAGCTCCAGGCCCCTGAAAAGCAAAAAGCGGCAAAACCAGGCAAAGTAACACCAGGACCAGCCAGATGACTCACCACCCCTGACACTGACCAATCAGTAGAGACCATGACCCTGAAACAATACACCCGGAGCCCTAGCTAGGTTGGCTCAGTGGATAGAGCATCGGCCTGCAGACTGAAGGACCCTGGGTTCGATCCCAGTCAGGGGCACATGCCTGGGTTGTGGTCTCAATCCCCAGTGCGGGGTATGCGGGAGGCGGCTGATCAATGATCCTCTCTCATCACTGATGTTTTTATCTTTCTCTTCTTCTCCCTTCCTCTCTGCAATCAATAAAAAATATATTTAGCCCTAGCCGGTTTGGCTCAGTGGATAGAGCGTTGGCCTGTGGACCAAAGGGTCCCAGGTTCGATCCCGGTCAGGGGCACATGCCTGGGTTGTGGTCTCAATCCCCAGTGGGGGGCATGTGGGAGGCAGCTGATCAATGATCCTCTCATCATTGATGTTTTTATCTATTTCTCCCTCTCCATTCCTCTCTGAAATCAATAAAAAATAAACATATATTTTAAAAACACACACAATACACCTGGAAAATCTGATAATATTCTGTTGCAACCCTTCCCTAAGCCCTCTCCTAACTCCCAGCCTTTAAAACCCTCAAAACTAAGAACCCAGGCTGCACTTCCCCTCCAGGGAGCACGCGTAAGCCTTTCCCTTTCCCTCTTTCCCCACCACGGGTGTGCATCTCCTAAATTTTAAAGGACCTCCCGCTCCCTCCATGGGACTTGCGACCAGAGAGCAATGGGCAGCGGCAGCCTGCATACCCCTCACTGGGGCTCGAGCCTGCAACACAGGCATGTGCCGTGACAGGGAATCAAACTGCCACCTCCTGGTTCACAGGTCAACGCTCAACCACTGAGCCACGCCAGCCAGGCCCAAGTGCTTCTTGGAGGACGTTTATGGAAGCTGGGGACAGTGAAACAAGGAAGGGCCTAAGGATGGAAGAAGCAACAGGAGGGAGACAAGGCGGGCTGAGCCGGCTCTAGAAATGTCTCAGAAAAGAAATGAGCAGAGGCGGGGCTGCCGTCAGCTCCCTGGAGAGTCAGAGAAAAGGGTTCAGGGATTCACTCAGGAGGAGCTGCCGCTGCCCATCGCTCCTCTGGTTGCAAGTCTCATGGGGGGGGGGTCTTAGAGGTTAGGGGATATGTGCCTGTGGGGGAAGGAAAGGGAAGGGAATGAATGAGTGTGCTCCTTGGAGGGAAGATGCAGCAAGGAGCTCACAATTTAAGAGTAGAAGATAGAGTAGTATACGTGAATGAATAAGATCAAGGAAGTATTACAAGTGGGTGGAGTGGAGCAATGAAGCCTTGCAAAGTCAACCAGAAGTACGGGAGCCTAGTGATCATCAGTCATCTGAAGACACAAAATAACACAACAGTAGAACTGTGAGAACATGCAATATTTAAGTGTTATATAATTAACACCAAGAGTGTGTACTCGAGCTAAAAGATTTTCATATAAGCCTTTATTACATGATTTTTGTTAATGTGAATGTGCTCAGCTGTTGATAAAAACCTGAAAGGGCCTCAGAGGCGCTCTGTCAGGGTACTCTGTACACACTGTGTGCCTGGCTTGGGTACACACTGACGAAATATTTCCTGGCACTTTGCAGCTCTCTAAAGAAATAAGACATGCCCTGCCGAAACCGGTTTGGCTCAGTGGATAGAGTGTCGGTCTGTGGACTGAAAGGTCCCAGGTTCGATTCTGGTCAAGGGCATGTACCTGGGTTGCGGGCACATCCCCAGTAGGAGATGTGCAGGAGGCAGCCGATCGATGTTTCTAACTCTCTATCTCTCTCCCTTCCTCTCTGTAAAAAATCAATAAAATATATTTAAAAAATTAAGTGTACAAGTTGATGGTTTTTAGTATATACATGGACTTATTGCAACCATCACCACTATTTTTTAAAATATATTTTAAAATACTATATGCCCTTCAGTATCTGGCTTTTTTCTTTCTTTTTTTTTTTAAAGGGGAAAATGATGATTTTTATTTTTTTAAATGTATTTTATTGATTTTTTTACAGAAAGGAAGGGAGAGGGATAGAGAGTTAGAAACATCGATGAGAGAAACATCGATCAGCTGCCTTTTGCATACCCCCCACTGGGGATGTGCCCTCAACCAAGGTACATGCCCTTGACCAGGAATCGAACCTGTGACCTCCTGCTTCATAGGTCGATGCTCAACCACTGAGCCACGCCAGCCAGATGGGGAATTAACATTTAAAAATTAATTATTACAAGGAAAAGTTACCACCTTGGGGAAGATGCTTAAAAAATACTTGTTGGGCCCTGACTGGTTTAGCTCAGTGGATAGAGCATCAGCCTGGGGACTAAAGCGTCCTGGGTTCGATTCCGGTCAGGGGCACATGTCCGGGTTGTGGGCTTGATCCGCAGGAGGTGGGTGTGCAGGAGGCGGCCAATTGGCGATTCTCTCTCATCATTGATGTTTCTGTCTCTCCCTCTCCCTTCCTCTCTGAAATCAATAAAAATATATTTTTAAAACATACTTGTTGGCTGGAA